GAGCGTGACCTACTTCTGTTAAATGCCTGTAATCTCAAGTGTGTGACTGTCTCTGCTAGCTTCTTGCTCTATAAGTATCATGGTCACAGTTTTTGACAATCATGTAATAGTTTTCCTTGCATTCTCCTGATTTTACTCAATCTGAAAATGAAGTTCCATCCAACTGTAAAAATATTTTTTAAAGTTCTTATGGTTGCAGAAAGTACATGATTCTGATGGGGCTCCAAAGGAACAAAATCTACAAAATTAAAAATAACAATAACATTGCATGTTTATAAAGAATTGTACAGGCAGCATTAGTGGGAGAGATCTACAAAATACTTGTTACGCTGAAAGTTTTGCAAAATATTTCAGAGCACTGAATGGCAACTTGTGAAACAAAGATTGCAGGTTTTAGGTGTTTGAACATTAGGGCTTTATTGTTTACTTGATGTATTTCTAGTCTGTCTTTAAGTCTAGTCACTTAATTGTTTCATCCCCCTTTTAAAGCCTCTAATGTTTATATTCAGGATGCTGTATAACTAGTAACAGTTTTCAGGAAGAATGTAAGAGTATTTCTTACATAATGAAACATACCCATATTTTTCCATGTATAAGATGAACCAGTGTTTAAGATGACCCCCATTTTTCCAACCCTAAATAAGAAAATTTGATCGCTGCTTTCCCTCTTCACTTCCTAAGCCCAGTGAAAGCAGGATCAAAGGGCTGTGGAAGTGGAGGAGGAAAGCAGCCATGAAAGGGCTGCAGGATCAAAGGGCTACGATCCTGCAGCTCTTTCATGGCTGCTTTACCCCGTCACTTCCAAAGCCCCATGGGGCTTATGAAGTGCACGGGGAAAGCAGCCACAAAAGGGCTGCAGGATCAAAGGGCTACAATCCCACGGGGTTTAGGAAGTGGCAGGGAAAGCAGCAATCAAAGGACTGCGATCCTGGAGCACTTTGATCCCTTCCCCCCCTTACTTCTATGTATAAGATGATCCTCAATTTTTAGTCTAAAGATTTTAGATAAAAGTATCATCTTATACATGGAAGAATGTAGTAGTAAGATGATAGTTTTTGTTGGACTTACCAGTAAAGAGAAGGCAAACTTTTGAAACTCAGGGCTCCTTTTCAAATGGATAAAGAACTTTTGTTTTTCTGAAACAAAATCAAACGCTTAGGCAGCTCTTATTTTTCCATGTAATGTTTGCCGGGTTTGCACATTATAATTTATTAATTTAAGTAGTACAAACTTTTTCCTGTTTTTTTAGCCTAGAAAATGCCTGTCTCAAACCTAGCACAGAGAAAATAAATAAAACAAAAGCAACAGTGAAAAGGAATATCACTGGTTTAGATAGGATTCTCCAGTAAGGCTAAAGTCTTATATCCACTTAACTCTGGGTAAGGATAAAGGTAAAGGTTCCCCTTGACAATTAAGTCCAGCCTGTCTGACTCTAGGGATCAGTGCTCATCCCCATTTATAAGCTGAAGAGCCAATGTTTGTCCATAGACACTTTCCATGGTCATATGGCTTTCACGACTTGATATTGAACACCGTTACCTTCCCACCGAAGTGGTACCTATTTATCTATTCGCATTTACAACTGCGAGTAGACAGTAGCTTTCGAACTGCTAGGTTGGCAGGAGCTGGGACCAGCAATGGGAACTCATCCCGTTGCTCGTATTCAAACTGCTGACCTTTCAATCCACAGCCCAGTGGCTCAGTGGTTTTAACCCACAGCGCCACCCTTATCCTTTTAACTGGGAATAAGCCCCATTGAATTAAGTGGGGCTTGCTAAAGAGTACACATAATAAAGTTGCAGAGTGTATTATATATAGGCCTTAATGAAATGTGTGTTTAAGTGTTTGGCTGTGGAGCCAGAGATCGGGAGTTTAATTCTGCACTGTGCCTCCTATGAGTAGAGCCAGCCTTGGACAAGGTGCACAGTCCTATGGTGTTCAGAAGAAGGAAATGGTAAACTACTTCTGAATATTCTGTACCTGGAAAACCCTGAAAAGGGTTGCCACAAGTCAGAATTAACTTGACAGCACATGATGATGATTGTAGGAGTGTTTAAAATTTCTGTCTTGCTTATCCCAGTGGTCCGTTCATGTCATCTCTAATTGAATCTCCCTGACTTTTAGTACCTATAGAGGAGACCTTTTTCTTAGTCTTGCAGACTTCACATGTGCCCCTGAGCAAACAGGAGAAAAGGGCATTCCTTGCTCCAGCAGGCAAAGACCTTTCTCTTCACGCACGATTTTAGTAAGTAACTGGCAAGTCAAGTCAATTCTAACTTATGGTGACCCTTTTCAGGGTTTTCTGGGTATAGGTATTGATCTGTTTATTTTATGATCTCACTATCATTTTGTCTTGCTTCATTCATCTATTAACTGCCAAGAATAGTGCATCACGCTAATAGGGTGATATATAAATGAATGGAATAAAATATAGAGTACTCAGAAGTGGTTAATTCCATTCTTCTGGAGGCCTCCTGGGATTGTGCAGGTGGTTCAAGGCTACTTAGGCTGGCCATTCTTCTTGAATACACGGTGGGGAATAAAACTCCTAATTTTCACTATATTGACACATGACCATTATATGTAGCTTGTCGTATTTTCATTTGTCAACATCTGCCTTTTAACTGTTGTGTAGGCTGCCTTGGGTCTCCTTGTTAGGAGAAAGATGGGTTAAAAATAATTGAAATTCAGTATGTCTTTGCTAAATATGTAGGTAGGAAAATTCCTTGCTACGAGAGGTGCTCACGTGACAATCTCTGTCTGCATTTAAAACTTGGAAGATAGTATCTGAAAATTAAATTACTATATTTTCTGCATGATGAAGAATTTGCTGAACTAGCTGCTCAGATCTCTTAAAATAGAATCTCTCTCCTTCACTGGATGAACGAGTGAGGCTTTGTCATCAGAATCAGGCAAGTTTGTAGAACTTTATTTCAGTTTCTTTTAGGCTAGGAGGATGAATTTCTTCAGCCAAGACGGAGTTACAGGAATGTTGGCGGTGTCCGCTCATTGACTATGAGCCTATAGAACTTTTCTGGAACCCTAAAGAGTGATGGAATTTAATGGCTGAAATCCAGCACTTAACTTGGACTGTAGGGGACTGATTATGTCATCAGGCATAGTGTTCTCCCCCCCCCAGAAATTATGAATGTCCAAACTCGTATCTGAAGGCCCCAAGGTTTCCTTGCAATCTGTGTTGTACTGGGAAAACCGTTGTAGGCAGTGGGACAGAAGGAAGGCTTTAATTTCCAAAGATTGCCACTACCAGTAAAATAATCTTACCAGCGTTGATTTTCTGAATTTAAAGGCATTCCCTCTGAAATGAAATCAAAATAAATAGTAAGTAGGCCTCTCTAGTCAGGGTATATACTAGATGATATGCTTTTGGAAAGTGACGTCACATTAAAGCCTTTGTGACAAATAGGGTTGTTCTTTCTTTTTATAGATTGTCACTCTTTAGGTATTGGAAAGTAGACCAAAAAGAGAAAAAATTGGGTTTCTTGTGCACTATCTTCTTTGGAATATATGGTTCTTTCTGCTGCTAGAACTGGTCAGTCAGAGGTAGTTTTATATTAAGACTACTGTACTTACTTCCCACTGGAAATTGAGCTTTCCTCTCCTACCCCTCTATCTACAATTCTATGCAATGTCAGAAGCCTGATCCCCAAGGTTTCCTAGCTCTTTGCAGCAAGATTTTAAGGCATGCAAAGGATTGCAGAAAGGAAGTGATGTTGCCAATTCTGTTAGAAGCAGTGGGATCCAGTAGAAGTACACTTTTGGATCCTGGCTAGGTTGCTCAGGCCAGCATTTTATATGATGGGCTAATTCTGTGGTTACTGCACATAAATCAGTATATGTAGATGCGTATGCAGTTCTCCCCCAGCAGATAGCAGTGTTAAATTTTGCTTTCTGCAATGGTACTACTTAACTGTATCACCACGGCACCTTTTACATGGCACCTACAATAGTTACATTTACTATCCCTACACAGATCGTTTTGAATGAACTTAACATTCTAAAAATGGTATCTCGTCTTTTCTTTGTAAAAATTGTTTGGAGGATGTATTGTCCTTCTGTCTGTATTTCAAGAATCCAGCGTGCCCTATGGGAGATATTGCTTGCATTTCCTATCAGCTCTATCCAGTATAACAAGTGGTGAGGAAAGCTGAGGAGTAGAATTCATCCATAGTTGGAGGGCCACACTTTGCCTACTGTGATTATAGAAGTGCACGGCATGAGCAAATACAGGCAATATTGCCTAGAAAAAAATGCTTTTGCTTTGTAAATTCTTTATATTACTACATTTTGATACTTTGGGGAAAGAAATATTTCCTGTTCAATCAGAAAATCATTATCTGCATTTTCTTCTCTGATATTTATTTTCTGTAGTTTGATGATCTTAGAGAAGGATGGTGACACTTAGTTATTGGGAGGAAGAACTGATTTCACATCTTTTGCGACAGAGGTGTAACCTGTATATTTGGGGAGGGGGGTATAAACATTTACACAGGAAGCTGTCTTATCTGGAGTCAGATCATTGGTCTGTCTCCTCCAGTATTGTCAACTCAGACTGCTAGTGGCTCTCCATTGTTTCAAGCAAGGTTGCTTGTTAGCTCTATCTGGGACAAGCCTGACCTTGCTTAGCTTTTAAAATCAGAGAAGAATCAGTGTGTTCAGAGTGATGTTGTCTTGAACCTGAAGAAGGCCAAACTGTTGTTTTTTTTCCTCTGGGCATGTAAAAAGAAAGTGTTTTTTTTATAATCATAACTTTGTGCTATCAATTCAATTCTGACTTTATAGCAACCTTTCCAGAGTTTTCTAAATAGAGTACTGAGAAGTTGCTTACCATTCCCTTCTACTGGGGGCACTCTGGAACAACATACATTAAAAAAACTGTAGTGATTGAAATGGTTCTATGAAATGGTACGCTAAGGGCCAACATGTATCTCTTGTATGGCTGGTATCTGTATTAATGTAGCTTTTACTCTTTTTCTTTATAGTGTTGCTGGAAGCAATCATTAAAAATGGGAGTGCTGCTGGGAGTGGTGCTTACTGTCGAAAGCCTGCAAGTGGCAGTGATCAAAATAAAACTAACAATATGAAGGACAGCAGTACATCTGCTTCCAGTGAAAGTGGGAAGACCTACACCAAAGACCAAGTGGAAGGAGTACAAAGGTATTTCTTTATAAACTAATTTCTTATTTACCTATGCCTTTGGGCTATATTATCAGTAGTCTCTGAGAGCTTGCAGATTGGATTCAGTACTTAGAAACGCTAGGTTAGTTAAGAATATCATGTACCCATTACAATCCTTTGGAGTAATACTGTCACTTAGAATATTAATGTTGCAGTGCAGGAGATGGTGTTGCCGTCAGTGATAAGAGGAGCTAATCTTGTGGGTTTGGTTTTTAAAACTCTCTCGGATTTTGGTGTGCTGAGAAAGAATTAGTAATACCAGCTGAAACCTGGTATGATGTGGAATAGTAGATGTGGTGGCTAAGAAAAGTTTGTACAAATAAGCAACAGCCAAGGTCTTCCTAAATACCATGAAGGAAATTGCTGTAGGCGATGAGGATATATATGTGAACTTTAAATAGTGACAGATTCTGAAATGTAATAGAACTGGTCTAGTCACAGATTTATTAGAGACATTTCATTTTACTGAATCTCCTGCTATGGACTCCCAACTACTTCAGCAGCTCTCCTTTGTTTTCAAAATAAGAGTAGCCACAGCAACTTCCTCAGAATTTAATTACCTGTTCTTCTGCACCTTGACTGTCTGGATAAAAGTATTACAAAATACATGAGAGGGAACTGTATAATAATTCCAATCACTGGTGACTGATCTCCACAGTACCCTCTCCTGTATTTTATAACACTTTTATTCAAACATTCAGAGGGAAGAAGACTGTCCTTAAGGTTTTCTTTTTCTTCCCCTGTCTTATACACAAGAGAATGTGCACAAAAGCAGATTGTTGTAGCTCTTCAACAGAGTGTTGCTCAGTGACAGTTTGGCTCAGTGGGGAACAGCGCAAGATGCAATAGTGCCCTACTGATTGCATAAGTACGAAATGCTCAAGCAGAAGCAGAAAGAAAAGCTCAGGATGGGTGCTGCTCCATTTTGTTGAGATAAATAGTCTGGTGAGATAGATGCGTTCTGAAAAGATTGATGAACTTAGCTTTCTAGTAAAGTGCAGCTAACTGTAGGAAGTGTGGAAGTGAAAAGGAGGTATCTCTTGATGTAATGATGCTTTCCTTGGTTTATCTACAACTTCATTTAAGCTCACTGAATAGAATCCATTGAATTCCCTCTACCAGCAAGAGGCTTTGATCAGCAAAAAGAGGCGGTATGCATTTTTAGTGATTCCCTCCCCCATCCCTTTCTAAATCTATTCTGAAGTGTCCCCAGTCTCTTGGAGCAGATTGTACAGCAAGGCTCTAGGAGGAAGGGAGACTTGTTAAAAGTGACTGCTGTCTGTATTCTACTGAAAAAAGACTTCTGCTGACAGAGGGGATTAGTTCTGTTCTGAAGCTTAGAAGTAAAAACAATGGTGTAGCTTGATAGATTTAATAGTTGTTGATCCAAGCAGTAGCATGTGTATTAGTGCCATGTGACTTCTGAGTGTTCTTTCAAAACCAGTTAACCTGAAGATCGGTGTTGCTTCAAAAGTTGCATCAGTTTGCGATCAGCACACTTTCATTCCTCTTGAAAGAAGGCGCTCAGGCAAGGCTGGGACAAGAGTACACTTTTCTCCTAGAAGAAATGATGCACTGCAGCATTGAGCATTTCAGATTCCACGGGGATTCTTTTTGGTTTATAAAGTACTGAGTTTTTTTCCAAGAAATCTTGAATGTATGGATCACAAACTGCCTATCATTCTTACACATTGCTTAACAGAATTTTTCAGTTACTTAATAATGATTCGGGTCTGCCATGCACAGCATTTATTCATTTAGGCATCAATTCATGTAAATGGTTTGCTTCTTAATTTGCACAGATATTTCAAGGTATGCTTCTTTTGCTTGGTTTAAGAGAATACTGTAATATTTATGGTAATAGGTGAACTATTGGCTGCTAGATTAAGATTAGTGATGGCCATAATCTTGAAGTGCTTTTGGTGTAATGCATTTATGGCATAGAGGGCCAGTATCTGGAGCACTTTGCTTTTGTATACTAGTTACTGGATATCTCAAGCTAAAGGCAGCTTTTGGGCACATATTCTGCTTGTAGGCTTCCCACAGCATACGGTTTGTACCTGTGGAAAAGAATCCTGATCTTGTTCGACCTTTGCTCAAATTCATCAGGGCTCTTCTTATGAGTCCCTCATTAATTCTAAATAAAGAACAATTTCATGAGTTGACCAAAGGCTTGTAAAATTGTACTGCAGGTTGGCAGAGCAAGAAAAGAGAGCTTTGCCTTTGAACTGCTATCATTCTTCTGGTTCATTCACTTGTTTGGCCCAAGAACATTACCCTTGTAGTCTCTAGTGTTTGAAGCCACATCTTTCTTGTTTGTTACGTCACCGACCTGATACTGGCTTTGCTATTGTGAGTTATGTGAATACTGAAGTTATAATCCAACTAAAGATAAACTTGCTGTCATATTTCAAGTAAATTAAATACTAGCTCTGTATCTATTATTTGGGGGATTCTTTAGTTTTCCAATGTGTTCCAAGAGTAAGATCATCAATACACCAGGAAATAAATTAAAAGAATACAGATATATGTTTATGAATGTATTTCATATAGTCCGTTCTTGCTAAAGAAACATGGGGAATAGTTATTTTATCGACTCTCAATGCTTGGATGCTATTAAAACCAGTTTTTAAAAGTACTGTAAATGAATATTTTACTAATCCTTACTTGTCTACCATTTAGTAATAAAGATTTTCTTAATGGTACCAGAGAATTCTTTTTTGTATCCTATAGTACAGGGACAAATTATTAACCCAACTAGAATAAATTCATTGAATCAACAGAGTTCTGGTAAGTCAACATTTGTGTTGAATCAACATTGATTTAGTGGATCATCTGTGGTTGGGTTTTGCAAACTAGATTTAGCCCATAATTGGTAAAATAAATATAAATATAAAGACCAAAAAACAAGTACAATAACTCTGTTGCCAAAGCAGGTTTGAATACAACTATATGTATAAGCTTAAAAATTATGAAAAATGAACTTTTCAGATTGTGTTTTGAAGTTTTACATCTAGGTGTTTTTGTTTTAACAATGATTTCTTGCTCTCCTGCAGTATAAAAAAATGTAAAAATTATTATGAAGTCCTTGGAGTATCCAAAGATGCAGGTGAAGAGGACCTGAAGAAAGCTTATCGAAAGCTTGCTCTGAAGTTTCATCCAGACAAAAACCATGCACCAGGAGCAACAGAAGCATTCAAAAGTAATATTCATAATTCACTTTTGGGTGAGATAGGAGTTTTTAGGATAGCAGTGGTGCATCTCTGCTACCCAGGTTCTTGTGCTATTGCATATACTGTACTTTTCATGGTGACTTAGATCCAAATGTGCTCTTTTTCATTCTAATGGCATCTTTCAATGACCAAAGATCTGTTTTGCACCTTGCACAACAATATGTGGCTTTTCAGATGTCGTAGGATTGCAACTCCCATTATTCCAGACAGCTGTCCTGCCTACTGCTGATGGAATTTGGCAGTCTAACATATGGAGAGCCAGACTGTATTCAACCCTATCCTAGATATTATGTGACAAGAATGAAACTAAAACCCAACTATGCTGTTATGATTGCACAACCAAAAACACAAGATCTCCTACATTCTTCGTATTCTGGTGTGTTGGACCTGTTGTCCACTGTGTTAATAAAACCAGTTACTTTCCAAAATGTTGTCCCAAGTGATGCCGTTGAAGAGAAAAGAAATCTAGAAGGCAGAGGGTGGCGGGTGAAAAACCTCACACAGGGTTATTTGGTTTTAGCCCAGTGTATTGAGAGCCCTGTAAATAAAGGTAGCAAACCATGGATTGTAGAAACAACCTGCAATCTGTATACTAATCCCTAAAACAAAAAGATATGGAGAGAAATAAAATGTAATATTGCTTGTATGATGGTTCCATTACTTCATGAACATGTTAGAAAGATAGGGTGGAGTCCAAACAGTTGTGTGCCTAATTCACATGCCTAGGAATCTACAAATTATGTCTCAGTTTGGCAGACAAAAGTTTTTTTTTCTAGTCATCAAGATTACCTTTATATGAAGGGAGTAGAGCTTATCTTCTCCTCAGACTAATATTGCAAATGGAAGTGTTCCCTATCCTTAGTTCCCTCTATGTTTTTAAATACTCAGTACTGTTCCCACTTCCCTGTGAAGTGCCACCACCATATAGCAAATATCTATTTTTAGAAACTCCTTCGACCCCCAAGAAATCTCCTGCAGTTTCTTCCCAGTCTTCTGCAAGAGTACCACTTCACAACCCAGTAATTTTTGTTTGTCACTTCAGCCACTTCTGGGAACAATGCAGAAATTTTGGTTGGTTTGCTTTTCTCATGTGGAGAGTAGGAGGAAAAGAGCCCTCTGGTGTTTTCCCCCTCAGTCAGTTTACAAACAAAACCTTCCGTGTTCTTTCAAACGAATCTGCTGTTGGAATGACTCAGGTTGGGGGTTGACTGTGAAAGTAATGTATTCTGAGGGTGAGGGGAGCAGATGGCATCTCAAAGGTTCTTTAGCTGCTTTGAACTAATTCTAGAAGAAGTGCACTGGTGGGGGAAAGAAGCAGAAGGGCCCACAAAAGGAAGCTCTCCTCTTTAAACATGGATAGGTGACAAACTAGAAATGGTGCAGAGACATGTCCCTGTCTACCATCCGTACCTGCAATATTTCCTGAAAGAGAAGGGAGTGGAAAAGAAACAGATCTTTGCCGATGCTATTCAGAACTGGAGAACACAAAGTTTCTCTCAAAACAAACAAAACAACTCATTTTTTTTCTGGTGCCTTACTTAATTTCCCTTAGGAAAAGGCTTAGGCAGGGGGAGCTGAGGCACGAAAGAAAGAGAAAGCACTCCCCTCCTGACTGGAATGGATATGGATGGAAAATCCATGGACAAATAAGTGGTAGAGGCTCATGATACCCCGAGAGGAGGCAGAGGCACAGAGGAGAATAACTGTAGAAAAGCCCTTTTGTTGGGGGGAAAAGGAAGCCTGGGAGTGGGGGCAGTGGATTCTTGAGGACAAGGCCAGAACAGAGAGAGGGGAAAGAGAATGGGTGCGATGGATCTATATGTATGGGGTGAAGATGACTCCAACCCTGGATCTGGGAGACCTCTCATCACGGACTCACACCTGGAAGCAAAATGCCTGTGCTTTCACGACCATCAGTGCTGTCACTACCATTAGGAGGAGCCAAGTACATGGACAGACTAGAACCCTGGGACTTAGAGTTGCAAAACCCATTTGTTTTTCAAGACAGAAACCCATTTGGTACCCTGTTGGGTGCCAAGGAGCTGTTGAATCTTAAAGCTGGTGTGACCAGTTTTTTGGATGTTCTGGAAATAAATGTTGATAGTTTGAATGCTAAACCAGAGTGTGATGTGATTAACCCTGGGAGGACAGAGTTTCAAGATCCTTGAAGAAGAACCCTCACGAAGATACGTTTTATTTTATGCAGCGTAGCACAACAATCCATACATTTATTTTAAATGTCATGCTTGATGTTGTCTTACGTATGTATTATGTGGAACAGCACAGCATGTTCAAGGAATATGATTGACTGCTCTGTGAATGAACACAAGTACAACATAGCTTTCATTTGTTGCATCTGTATATTTCTAAAGCCTCATTTCCTTTTTTTCTCCACTTGCTGCTGCCCTGCTTTTCAGAGATTGGGAATGCATATGCCGTGTTAAGCAACCCAGAAAAACGAAAACAGTATGACTTCACAGGCAGTGAAGATCCATGCAGTCATCCTGGCAATGGTAGATTTAACTTCCACAGGGGTTGTGAAGCTGATATTACTCCAGAAGACCTCTTCAATATGTTCTTTGGAGGGGCATTTCCAACAGGTATTTATTTATCCACTGAATCTAGATGTTCATGACCCAGTCTCAGTTCACCAATGCAGTTTACATTTTTCTGTATCAGAGTGGGCAGCTTCTAGGACCATTTTTGTAACCTCCAGTACCCCGAGAGTCCCTCCCTCTCCCTTTATCAATGTAATAAACCTTTTTCTCCCTCATAAAGTCCCTTTCTGCCCTTTAAGGGATACAGTGGCAACATTGCCATATTGTGAGGCATTCCTCATACCCGTAGTATTCTTTTGGGGGGGGGGAATTAAATCATATTTTAGCCACTAGAGAACCCCAAGGGGCTTTTTTAAAAGTTATAAATTCATTTGCTAAATTATCCATTTTTCAGTTAAAGAAAAACCCACTGTAGTAACCTTTACAGTACATAAGCTCCTCCTTTAGGGGTGCAGTCCTTTCGCTCCTAAAAAATTCAAAAAATGGCCCTTGGCACCACTGCACTTGGCCTCCTCTGCTGTACATCATCCATATAATTCACTCCCCTGTTCTTCTACAGTAGCTTTCCTTTATTTTGTTTAATGCCAATCAAGCTTGATATCCAAAAACCTCTGTAATCTGATAATCCCTTACAACCACTGGGTGATTGTGGCCAAGTTCTCATAAAATGAGTGTGAAACTGTCATAAACTATTTAACATGTTTCCTGGGATATAGTTTGCTTTTCTCAGGTCTGAAGAACAGATTTGTGAAACTTGAAAGCTTGTCTCGCTTCTCAGCAGCTAAAAGTCCAATAAAAGATACAGTGTAATGTGCCCCTCAAAGGCCAATTGTTATTTGTTTTTCTTGACAAGAGCAAGAGGTTTTTTTTGTACTGTTTTGCAGTGCGCTGTCTGATAGTGCCACCATAGGACCTCTGAGTACTTCCCTTTTATTGTGTGTGTGTGTGTTGTTTATTCACTTGTGAATATAGTCATTTGAATATTTCTTGCTTCATAGGTAGTGTACATTCCTTTTCCAATGGACGGTCTGGCCACAATCACCATAATCAACATCGTCATAGTGGACATGAAAGAGAAGAGGAGAGGGGTGATGTATGTTTTGTCTTCACCAGAGTTTTGCTCAGTTTTATATTTTCTAGATATAATTCCATGGAATGAAATTAAAAAACATCATATCTTCTAGCTGAGTTGTCCTCAGTAATGCCTGTGTAATAAATAGATATAAAGAAACACTAACAGTAAAAATTCTAATACTGCCTATTGCTATTTCTGGTAGAATCCTATATACAGTGGTGCCTCGCACAACGAGTGCCCCGTAGAGCGATGAATTCGCTCTACGAGGACGTTTTCGCGATCACAAATGCGCTCGCATACCGATGGCCCCTATGGCCGAAAATCGCAGAGGGAAGGTCGGTAAGCGGTTCGCTTACCGACCTTCGCTTTGCGCCCCGCCGATCAGCTGTTCGGCAGCTATAAAATGGCCACCGGAAGCTGCAAAATGGCTGCGCGCAGCGTTTTCGCGCCCTCGTTAAGCGAGGGGAGGGCGCGAAAATGGCTGCTGGCCATAGAGGAACATCGCTGAACAGTGAGTAAAGGAGCCTTTTGGAACGCATTAAACACTGTTTAATGCGTTCCAATGGGCTTTTCTGTCCTGCTCAGCGATGTTTTCACACAGCGAGGGTTAATCCGGAACGGATTCACCTCGCTGTGCGAGGCACCACTGTATATAAATTTTTCTGTGCATTGTGGCATACTCACAGATGAGTCACCACACTTTAGGTTAACAACGAAGAATATCCAGTTGATAGAGGCTCCCTGATAAGTCTCTATATTATTTCCAGGCTATCAGGGGAAAGTGTATCTCCATTACAGATCAATAATAACAGTAGAAATTTTCTAAGCTAGCTGCATGCTTTCAGGAGCCAGCTGAGCCATGATCTCTTGAGTCATTTGACTTTTATAAGTGCCATCTGGAGGCACATTGTTCCTTTCCCTTCCCTTCATGGGGAAAGAAGAGAAACAGAGTTGAGCTCCTGGCTGCAAAACCATCAAGGTCCTGGCTGAAAAACTTCTAGCTGATGCTTCATTTCAGGCATGGTCATGCCTATGGCATCATTCAGTCTCCCACGGGTAGTGGTATCCACACCCTGGGCAAGATAACGTCACCCCTGTATTAAGTGCAGGTATACTCAAGGGAAGTATATCTGTTGAAATTCACTCTTTCACCAAGCTATTAAATATGTACAAGCCCTGTTGTCTTGTGGTTTTAATCACCCAAGTAGCATAGCAGAATTAAGTTATGTGCCACAATATTGAAGCATTTTGCCACTTATGGGGCACAATATTGCTAAATAACAGATCTTGCCAGTTTCTAAAGTCCTGAATTCCTGACTGGAATAAGCTGATTTTGAAAAATAATGTTGATCTAAATTGGAGGTTTTCTTATATTATTTTCCCCCACCTAACATTGGTAAAATTAATTAAGATGCTTACTTATTTAGGATTAATTGCTGTAGAGATGGAGACTGCTGCTGTACTAAGAGTGACAGATGCCTTCCTTCACATGGGAGCACCGATAATTGTATTTGAGAAAAAAGTGTTCTGTTTTTTATTTCCCTTTCTGAAATATAAAAACATTGGTCTATTTGACCTAATTGAAACAAAATTAAGAGAGGAATATTAGTAGAGTTTGGGTCCTTAAGCAGTGGATATATTTAAAAAGGGATGCTATGTCCTAAGGGTTCTAAATGATATTCAAACAACAGAACAAGATCACATAATATATTTTTTAATAGATTGTATCCAAAATTGAGTTCACAGCACACAGAATGGCATCAAATCTGATTTAGCTAATCCAGCTCAAATCTGCATAGGACCTTAAAAGAAAAAATCTGTTTGTTTGCAGTGGATATATTTAAAAAGGGATGCTATGTCCTAAGGGTTCTAAATGATATTCAAACAACAGAACAAGATCACATAATATATTTTTTAATAGATTGTATCCAAAATTGAGTTCACAGCACACAGAATGGCATCAAATCTGATTTAGCTAATCCAGCTCAAATCTGCATAGGACCTTAAAAGAAAAAATCTGTTTGTTTCCAAAATAGGTGGTGTTAAGAAAATTCACCTAGATTTTAGGATGTGTTAGCACAGTTACTGGAGTTTGAAAGGGCTGGTTTTGATCAGTTGAAGGGTTGTTTATTCTTTGAAGTGTGTTCTGGAGGCTTTTTATTTTGTTAGAAAATCAGGAAAAGTATGTTCACAAAATTGTTCAAGACATGCTCTAAAGGCAGAAGAAAAAGGAGCATGTTTCATGATGCAAAAGGAGTATACAGATAACAAAAACCAAAAGATTACAATATCAGCTTTAGGTAGTACAGTGTCCTTTAAGAAGCTTTAAGGAAATGATTAGATCAGGCGAGAAATGCTTTGGGTTCCAATGTTTCTTGCCTAAAGGGGAGTGATGGAACAAACTATATCCTTTCAACTGAAAAAAAAATAACCAAGTATCATGTGATTTTCTTTCTGATTGCTATTTCATTTTCCAGGGTGGCTTCTCGATGTTCATTCAGTTTATGCCAATTATTATGTTGATCCTTGTTTCTTTGTTGAGCCAGCTGATGGTGTCTAATCCTCCATATGCTTTATATCCAAGATCGTAAGTATGCTTGCATAATAACCATGATCATGTTAAATGATAATGAATCTGATGAATCCACATTTTTTCTTCTCTCCTTTGCCCCCATACTTACTGCATCAAGTCAAAGTTAATACAACTAGTGCTATTATCCAGATTTGTCAACAAGAAAGACTCCTAAAGGAATAAATTCTCTCTTACTCCATTGTGTACATTCTGCCCCAATACAGGATCATTACTTCAAGTTTTGCCTTTTCCTGGTTAGATGTTTATATGTATTAGAAAGCCCTTTAAAATACAATACTTGGGGACTGAAGTACAGCTTATATCGTTATCTATTGAAATTTTACTTTGTGAAAATCAGCATTATAGTTTCATAAAAAGACATTCAAATGGGACTCTGCAATAAAATGTAGCAATGTCTGTTCAGTGTTCATGTCACCCCTGTCCATGTTCCCTTCCTTATACCCCTTTTTTCTTTCTTTGTTAATTTTAACAGTTGGTCTAGGTTTAATACTCATTGGGCATCTCAGTTGTCATTAATCTGTTCTCAGTACGTAGTTTCATCTGTTTGTGGTTTTAACATAATTTGAGAAACCTATTTTAGCCTAGTCCAATCAAGCTACGTTAGTATTGTGGCTTTCTCCACTGATTTTTATGGGCAATTCTCACTTTTATCCCTGATGAGATTTTAAAATAGCTTCTTAGTCTTGGCTCAGAAATGACATATACAGAGGATAAAATAGATCTGTCTATTTTTTGTATCTGTGTCTCTTCCTCCATTTCCAGTTATTCCTTTCCACCTTTTTATTAGGTTTTCTTTCCACAGAGAATGAGTATTCCATGTCACTGAGTTCCATACAGATTTTACTGATTTTACAAATCTGTTCTATAAACAGATTTTTTGTACAAAAGTGCCAGTTCTCACCACCAATAAATAAATAAATAAGCCTTTAGAGCTTTTTTTCTAAGGATGTTTCATGTATCTGTAAATTTCAGGAGCTATCTCAAGTCTACCATGTTTGTATGGATGGTTTTTCTTTGGTTGTTTTGTTTTGGGAAATGCTTTCTTCTGTCAACAGGGTATCTACTGATGCAGTTGTGCATACTAATAATTGGCCAAGTATTGCCATGTTAATAGAGAATTTCCAGATGCATGAAATGATAACCTCTCAGGATGCAGAATTATTATACAAGGATGGAATAAATGTAAACTACAGTTGTGTATCGTTAGATTTTCGGGAGTGATGTATCAGCTTAGTCATTTCTGTGATCAGATTGTTCCTACCACAAAAGCTGTTATCAGAATTTTAAATAGCAAATTGCTACCTTTTATTAAAGACTAACTATTGGTTACTTTTAGAAATGATCCTAAATACTAAATGCTGCCTCTCAATCCCCAGGATATTTAATACAAAGTCTTTTAATTAACAGGAGCAATCCACTTTAGGAAAATGCTCACTTCTTTGTACCAAACACCATATCACTTTTTGGAAACCAAATGTAAAGAAGGCATAGGTATCACGGAAAATCAAATACTAAGTCTTCAATGTTTGCTTCTGCAGTGACTTGAGAAGCCATCCCTCTGTGCATCTAAGTTTTATGATTCTTCCTTGGGTTTACCATTGCTTCTGTTTGCTGCTATTCTCTTCCTTTTGAGTCTGAGAGTGTAGTGTAGAAGGTAGTCCAGCCATCCTTTTGTTGGTGCCCTCCAATTGTGCTGGACTTCAACTTCCATTGTCCTCATCCAGCATGGGAATGATAGTCTAACATATTTGAAGGGCATTTTCTTAGAGACACAGGTGGGCTGAATGAATCTTGGAAGTACAGTATTAGGTTCAGATACATGCTCAGTCACAGAATTTACTTGGTGAACTTGGACCACTTAAAATAAATACAGCTCTCTCTCTCTTTCAGTCTAACCTATGTCAAAAAATGTTTGAGAGAATAACAATTATAGTACACTGGCCTGAGCTCTTTTGAGAGTGGCCTTTGCTGCCAGATGGTTGGTATAGAAATCAATAAATCAAGCAAATAAATAAATAAATAAATTTTGAGGGAGTTTCTAATAGGAATGTCTGTAACACTCATTTAGAATTTTACAAGATAGGCCTATATTCCTTTAGAAAAGCTTTATTTTTTTTCTTTACTGAAGGACACCAATCCTGAACATTATTGACTTAGTTAATTCCTTCATCCAGATGCCACTTTAAAGAAAAGTATTCAAAGAAAACTGGATAGAGAAGTGGGAAGCAATATGTTATTCAGCATATGAAGCTGTAAAAGAGAAAACTTTCTGTCACAGCTTAAGACGTAGCATATTGTGTATATGCAAAGACATTAATAATAGCATTTACTCATGTTGCAGCAGATTTGATGACTTTTTTTGTTTGTTCATTTTGTTTGGTTTTGCTATTTGCCCAGTTTCAGATGATCACAGAAGCTCACCATCAGTCTGGGGTGTCTTTTCAGGGGTACAGGGCAGACCATTCAGATGCAGACAGAAAACCTGCATGTTGACTATTATGTTAACAAAGACTTTAAAAATGAATACAAAGGTGCAAGTTTGCAGAAGATAGAAAAGAGTGTTGAAGAAGACTATGTAACGAACATCCGAAATAACTGCTGGAAAGAGAGGCAGCAAAGTAAGTTGAATTTATGACTGACATACATTGTTTTTCAAACATATACTGAAATATTTCATAATTCTAGATCAGTAGTTCCCAACTTGGGGTACTCACATGTCCTTAGATTAAAACTCCCAGAAGCCTTCACCACTAGCTCTGCTGGCCATGATTTCTGGGAGTTATAGTCCAACAACAAGGTTGAGAATCACTGCTTTAAATGATAGTGCATGTTGGATCCTAAGGGAAAGTAAGTTCACTCCCTGGTGCCCATATGGAGAAGTTTATATGTTGGATCCTAAGGGAAAGTAACACTCCCTGGTGCCCATATGGAGAAGTTTACCCAGGTGGGACACTTCTCACCTGCCCACATCAATATTGTATACCACTTTTTTATCGTTACAGTAATTAGAACGTAGTAAAAGCTGGTATACCCAATAATAGTGTGATTTAAAAAGCATTCAGTTCGTATATAACCACATATTTGATCACAGCTAGTGGCTTTAGGCAAAGTATTATTTTTTGAACCTCTAACTCCATAGGATGCACCATGTAACAGGAAAGGTCATGTTTATAACATGTTAGCCATCATTAACATATTGTTTGCAAAGTGTTTTGAACACTTGAAATTTGTTAACAAGTGCTAACTGTTGCTGCTCATGGAAGGAGCCATCAAAGATGGACTTGAAATGACTCTCTTCCTCTGCGCACCTAGCAAGGTCGTCATTGTTACGTGGAATGTAGATATGACCCATATAGATCAACAGATCCTGTTGCCCTCCAACTTAGGAGACTCCTTTGTTTATATAGAGGTGAAGGTGACAAAGCAAGTTAGAGACAACTGTATGCAAGTAAGGGATGTTTCTTGATAACTATAACCAAATGTAAGAGCTTGTTACTGGGAGGTTATTGTTGCCTGCTATCCTGTTTCCCCGAAAATAAGACCTAACCTGAAAATAAGCCTGTGGCATTCACCATGGTTATGAATATTCATATGCTGTTTGCATAGATCAATAGGAGTGCTGGAGGGGCAGAGTCACGAGGTATAAGAGACTCAGCAGCAGGAGGAGGAGTTTAGATAGACGTAGATGCGGTTTTGAGAGGGAGAATTAGAGTGTTAGAAAGTTGAGAGAGTGGTGGTTGAGGGTGGATAAAGAAAAACGTTTGTGCTCTGTCAACACCTGTATCAATAAACAGTTTCTATGTGGTTCTTTTAAAATGACATATGGTCTGGACATCTATTATTAATAATAGGGATTGTTAATGAAATCAGTTGGTGGCAGGTAAGGAGCATGTAGCATGAGCTCTTAGTTTGGTAAAACAATAAGGGGCCACGTGGAATCGTGACAAAGCCCTAGTATGATTTTTCAGGATACTTGTAATATAAGCCCTACCCCAAAAGTAAGTCCCAGTTATGCGAAACCCCACCTTCCACCATTGTGCAGCAAAGATGACATGACTGTATTTGAATAAATGTAGATTGTTGTACGTGGAGAAAATAAAGCATTCCCCGAAAATAAGCCCTAATGCGTTTTTTGGAGAAAAATTAATATAAGAACCTGTCTTATCGTAAGATAAAGAGCAACAGGGAACAGCCATTGGCACTATAAAGGACGTAGGAAGTGGTGAAGAGGGGAGACAATCGGGAGAGTCATAAGGTGATGGTTGCCTCCATCTTGTCTTTTAGTGCAGATACCATGGATAGCCTTGGTGCCTTTCTTGATTATCCTAGACCTTTCAGTGCCATCAATCTAGGTATCCTTCACAGCAGGCTTTGTTAATTGGATGTGGACAGCACTGCAGTTTAGTGGTTTTGTTTCCTTCAGGATGGCAGCCCACAGAAAGCGGTGTTTGAGTCTGGGTCATTTTAATTTAGTACTGGCCAGGAATAATGTGAAACAATTGGATAATATTATGATCTTTCTAACATTTGCTTCTCTTTTTTTGAAAAAAGAAACAGATTTACTATATGCTGCTAAAGTGTATCGAGATGAACGTCTTCGAAGGAAAGCCGAAGCCATTTCCATGGACAACTGCAAAGAACTAGAGCGGTTGACCAGTATCTACCGAGGAGGATGAGCTAAATTCTTGCTTGTACTTCTCCAAAGTACATGCTCCCTATATGTATAAAAAGGAAAAAAATATATGTAAACTGAGAAAATACTGTGCCGTCATGACAGCTAAAAAAAAAAGAGGGATATAAAACTCTACTGTGTAGCTGTTTCCAAAAACCTTATCCTGAAGTTCCAATATCATTTAATAGCCTCTTTACTTAGTCTGAAATATATGACAAGGTTTGTTTACATCATTGAACTGTCCTTTAAATTTTACTCTCAAGGCTTCTGTGAACTCTTCTGCAAGGAAGCAGCAGCTCGGATGGGCTGGCTATTCTTATAGAGATGTAGACATAGTGGTTCTCCTCCTTAAAATACTTGCCATGTAAATATGTGTGGAAAAAGAACGCGTGTGTATATAAAATTGTTAAGGAAATCTCAAAGGTATTTAGAGGCATTAAAACGTTTAATCTCATGGATGGAATAAATATTATGACTACATCATTCCTTGTTCTGCTGTCAGGTGCGTGGAACTAAAAGAAAATGTAACTAATTTCTTTGCATACAGTTCTAGCTTGGAGGAACTTTACTGTTGTTTTCAAGGCCATGTAGATTTATAATGAAAATGTTTGGATAAAGCAATCTGCTGGTGGAGTATCAGCTACTTTTGAAGATTTAATTCTTTCTCTAAGCAGTGACAACACTGAAATCTATACCAGAATCCTTCTTGCAAGCTGAAACACAAGAGAAATGTGAAGGTACATCCTATTGTTTTCATGTTCCAGAAGAAAGCAGTGTGTGATAATGCCAGTGCTGCTGCTGCTGTTGTGCTCTCTTCTCCCACAACTTTTTTTGTTCAGCGTAGCCTTTGGTCACAAACCAACCTTTCTGAAATGGAAGGCATAGAATTTACTGAACTGTGCATCAAATCAACAAGTATGCTTAATATACATTCATAGGCTGCTTTCACTGTTACACAAAGGGTAGACATTATTTTTAAAAAATAATTATCAGAGAGTATGGAAGTTTTGTTAAATTATATAATGCCTGACCTCTGTGTAGCCATCAAAAGTTTGTTCATCAAAGTAGTTGTTCCTAAACTTCAGCCTTGTGCCTTTGACCTGTTTTGAACTGTTAAGTTGTGCTTGTTTTGAACAGTTGCTATCACTGGAATTTTATGATTTTGCCCAGTGACACTAACAAAAAACTCACAGAGGAGCTGTGCAGGGAACACCATCTGCATGTACAGTATGCAGGGGAAGCTTGTAGAGAACGCTTGGGTTTCCCTATGAAACAGAAGTGATCTGATTTTAAGATATCATAGGGAAAAAAATCAGATCTGCTGATGCAAATGCAGTTTGAAGAAACTACAAACAGGAGATGATGTCTGAGAACTGAATATTTGTTCTGACTCTAACAAATGTTTTTTAAAAAACTAATACTGGAACAGAAAAAAGTGTTCCTTTTATTTTCCATACAGTTTATTCTGACGGTGGTCACTAAGGTTTATCTAAGAAAATTTTGCAGATTCATCTACAGTTAAACCTTATTTCAGAATGCGTAATCAAAATAGATATTTTAAGTGAGGTACCATACTTCAGCTGGTTTTTTCCCCTCTTCAGTAAAGCTACTTACTGTGGTCTGATGTATATAGTAGAGTGAATTGTATAAATAGATCAAATGTTTCTGAAGTGGTTCTTCAACCCATAAGCCTTGTTTGAGAGGACCGCATGAACCCAAGGCTTTTGATGACAGACTATGGGACAAAAGCCTTGGAGGCACACAAGGACCATAGCTAATCTTACAAAAGCCCACAGGTTGATTTTGGTGGCAGTGTTCTGGGGTCATAGCTGATTTTGCTTAATGTTTCGTTACATATGTGTTGCAGATAGAAAGGAATCCTGGGACAGAGTGGCTTCTGAGTTGTACAAGTATAATGTGGTGGAAAGTTCATTTCTAAGTGTTCTCAGTTTCAGAGTAAAGCTTAAAGATGAGCTTCAGAAATAATTCATAGTAATGGATTTCATCCTATTATTCTCTTCCTCAAGCAATCTGGGGAAAACAAATGCCAGTCATATAGCACTACTTCTATAAGCATTAGAGTGTAGTAGCCTCTTTTAGCAATATTAGAGTGCTATATGATAAGTAACAAATGCAGGTTTCCTGTGTTCTCCATTATCTGATAGATGTATTTGAATGCCATGCATTTAGTTTATTGGAAAGCTCACCCATCCATGTAGAATTGCAAAAATGGTTCTTTGAAATTACATACAATATCATAACTTTAAATTTCACCTCCAACACCTTTTACTTCTCTTACTTTACTAGAATGGTTAGGCAGATGCAGCCCTCCAACCGCAACACCTGTGATCCTTGGGCAGTGATGAAGAATGCTGAAAGTTGCAGTGCGACAATATCTGAAGGGTTACACTTTGCACACCTTACAGAAACAAACATAAGTGTCTTGAGTGAGTGACTCACAGCCAGAGATAACATACCGTTTGAGTTTCTGCAGTAGAGAACCTAGAGGTACATTTTGCAAAACCACTGACTTGTATGAACCTGGAAAATGCTAATTTGGGTAGCTTATCAATTTATAGATGATTCTGTACTCTAGTGTTGACTTCAGTGCTTCTGAAATGTGTATATGATTGGAAGCCTAGATATATCATCATATTTAATGAATATACAAGTAGAGCTTCTTGCACTGTTTTATCCCAGTACATCAAATAAGGGTTGCTTCCAAGGTTCCCCCTAAACTGGGCATGTGCGTCTCTGCCTCCTTGTGTGCAGCTGTCTTCCTCCTCCACGCAGCAATTGCATTAGGTTCTGGTCATGATGGAACCCAGCGCGCGTGGGAGAATGGAGTCACGCAAGAGAAGCGGAGGTGAAAATTAGAGGATATGTTGGTTGCTTCTGTTGTTTCCAGCCTCTCTGACAGATCTGTTTAGAAAGAGATACTATTTCTGTTTATTGTTAAACTGCTCTTTATGGTAATTTGCACTGTGACCAGTTCGTAAAATCATATTAAGCAACATTATTAACATAAGCCACAAACCTTTTTCATTTTTAATGTATATTTCTCCCAAGATTTTAATCATGTTGTTTGTGATGGCGAAGGTAATATTTTCTATGAGCAATTAAAATATGCTGTCTTTAGTCCTCTCACACTGTGGATTTGCAAGGTTATGACCTATTCTCCTAATCTTATTTTTACTTGAATGTAGCTATAACAAAGAGTCTCTGATGATTACAGCAGATTTGCTGGGGTGATAAAAGATAAGAGAATTTCTTTTAAGTCAGAGGTTGATAACAAGTGGCCCTTCAGAATCCATCAGAGATCAGACCACAACTCCAATCCATCCTAGCTAGCATAGCCAACCTTGAGAAACTAGAGAAGTTGCATTTAAAGAGCATCTGGAAGGCTACACCTTAAGAAAATTACATAAAAACAAAGGTAAGATCCAATCACAGAGCTCTTGAATAATGTGTAATTCCATACTCTTTAGTGTCCAGGTTATTAAGTCTAGAGCGCTTAATGAAGTCAATTTTGGTGGAACTGCATAGGCTTAAGGATGATTCGTGGATTGAACTGGTGGTTACTCAATTTGCCATGTTATTTGTTTGTCTCATGTATAGGCCACCTTTCCCCCAATGGGAGGAATCAAAGCAGCTCAAAGGCTGACTTGCTAAAAAAAAAAAAGATCCATTGCAGCATGTAATTTTTTTAAGGAATTGTCATTTTATTATTTTAAATAATAAAATATTGTTTATTTTTGCTTCCCTTTTTCTGTAAGCACACCAAATATACAGCCTGATACATGTGCACGCTTTAGACACTATAGTACAAACCCTGTGATAGAGCTAGGCAACTGATAATGAATTCTTATGCTTTGCTATTGCTATGTTTCAAATCCTTTCCCTTTAATACTATTGAGATATAAACCAAATGTAAAAGAATCCAGCCTTAGCCAGAGAATAAACCACCATTTACAATGTGCAGTAGAGGCTTAATTTCAAGATTATCAGTCATCCCATTAGTGCTATGTTTTGCTATCTACCACAATCTTATTTTCTCTGCTGTTTCAACCAGTTTGGTTGGGGGGGGCAGTTTGAGGTACTTAGTATACATCGGTTGGTAAAAGAATATTACAGTAGGACCCTCATATCTGCAATTTCACTTATCCGCAGTTCGAAAATATTAAAAGAACCCCGCCACAAAAAATAAATACTTCCATATGATTACCAGAGCTGACCACCAGAGGGAGCCAGAGACTATGCTATGTATAGGATTCACTATTATCAGCTGGTTTTCCACATCTGTTGGGGGGGGGCTTAAAACCGACATAAAAAAAATAAAAGGCCCCCCGCCACAAAAAATAAATACTTCCTTGTGATTACCAGAGCTGACCACCAGAGGAAGCCAGAGACTATGCTATGTATAGGATTCACTATTGTCAGCTGGTTTTCCACATCTGTTAGGGGGGCTTAAAACTGATCCCCCACAGATACGGGGGTTCCTACTGTATATATGATGCTTAGGAAATTCTTGTGAAACAATGTTTTTTTTCCCTGACGTGCAAATCTGATTACATACCCAGCTTTCACAGTTGCTGCTTCATAAATATTTCGCTTTATATAGCAAACATTAGCAAACACGCAAGTGTATCTCATATCTGCTTTTGATATTGCATGACCTTAATTTTTTTTTCCTACTCAGAGGGGGTGCTGTTTTAGAAATAAAGGAATAGCTAGTGACAAAGAGATATGCAACTACTCAGCTGTATTTGAGATTTTGTAGAGGCAGAATAAGTATTTATAGAGAATGAGTACTATTGGTTCTGTTTAACCTCATTTATCTCAGTGAGGCTTATGAATAGATTTTCCATTGCAAACACTTTGGAATGAACGAAAGCTTATGCAACTACTGTATTTGAGATTTTGTAGAGGTAGAATAAGTATTTATAGAGAATGAGTACTATTGGTTCTGTTTAACCTCATTTATCTCAGTGAGGCTTATGAATAGATTTTCCATTGCAAACACTTTGGAATGAACGAAAGCTGTGGATTAGAAGTCCTAAGTAAATTTGGCCATCTACATGAACATACTGTATAACCTAAGTTGCAGTTCAAAAACATCTGAGTAACAAAGGTTAAGAACCACTGATCTACATGAACATACTGTATAACCTATGTAAGTTGATTCTGCAATGGCTTTTCTAATTTGCAAGACAACCATGTATTTCTTAGATCACTGACCAAGCTTGGTTACAGTTTTGCTTTTAAACATCCAATTTATACCTTATATTAAGGATTACTTCAGTGTTGCCGATTTTTAAATTATTTTGTAAAGATTCTTCATGTATCTGGTTTTTTCTTTCTTTCACTTCTTTGCACCAAAACCTGTTGATTTGAGGACTACTCAAGTTTTATATTACTCTCAGTGTTGATAGATGTATAATATGTTTTGCAGATTTGCACTTCAAATCTATAGTTGCTTCATATTTTATCACTACATGTCTGTACAGAGTATCAAAGCAATAGGATATTGGTGTCTTCTTGTGGAAGAAAAGCATTTCTCTATTCCCTTACCCTCCCACATCAAAGTCCAATGTAGCTTATAATAGTTCTGTATAACACTGGCTATGGTTTACTGCATG